GGCAGAGAGAGAGGGAGACACAGAATCAGAAACAGTCTCCAGGCTCCGAGCCATCAGCCCAGAGCCTGACACGGGGCTGGAACTCACGGACCGCGAGATCGTGACCTGGCTGAAGTCGGACGCTTAACCGACTGCGCCACCCAGGCGCCCCAATGTTTATTTGTTTTTGAGAGAGAGAGAGAGAGCTTGAGCGAGCTGGGGAGGGGCAGAGAGAGAGGGAGGCAGAGGATCTGAAGTGGGCTCTGAGCTGACAGAAGAGAGCCTGATGTGGGGCTCGAATCCACGAGCCGCGAGATCATGGCCGGAGCTGAAGTCAGATGCTTAACCGACCGAGCCACCCAGGGGCCCCGATTCAGTGAACTCTTGCCCATAACATGCTACTATAGGGTCTGGCTTTTGGTGTACCCGAGTAAACATTAGCCTGTATAGTTACCATCTTTCTACCTTGCTGACCCCCAGCTTCCTTTCTCCCTCAGTGTGAAGCCATTCTCACAGACGCCGTTCTCGTTGTCACTGACCCCCCCATCTACTGACCTCCCAGGTAAGAGTCTGCTCTCCACCTTCCTTGTCTCCCCGCTCTCCTCAATCCCAGCTGCCTTTCCTTCCCCTTCCATTAATCAGGAAACGCATTTCTGTATAGGTCCAGGTCTGAGGAAAGATGAGTGATAGAATTTGTAGTGGTTAATATCGTGGCCTCTGAATCCGGAGACGCTGGGTTTGTGTTCTGCCACTTGCTACCTAAAGGACGTTGAGGAGGTGTATCCGTCAAGATTCTTCCAGCTGCAAGTGGCAGACACTCAAATCAAGCTCGATGACACAAAGAAAAAGAAAAAAAAAGAGTTTGTTGGCCTAGGCAACTGATATTTCAGGAATTGTGGCTTCAGGCATGGCTGGATCCAGGGGCTCAAGTGGTAGTGTCAGATTTGCTTGGTCCTGCTTTCCCCTGTGGTGTGTGGTGGCTTCATTCCCAGGCAGGCTCTGCCCACCTGGCAAGAAAGACGGCTTCCGGAAGTCCATGATGCTATGGTCCTAAGAACTCACACTGGTGAAAGAGAACTCTCAGGTTCCACAGATTCATCAATTCGAAATGCTTTTGGCTGCAAGTAACAGAATGCCCAAGTTAATAGTGCCTTAAGTAATAAAGGCTTTAATGATTTCACCTAACAAGGAGTCTGGAGGTGGGGTGCTCCTGTGCTGGCTCAGCAGCTCAGCAATATCAGACCTGGCATCTCTATAGGTCCTTTGGCCTCTTATTGTCCCAAGATGGCTGTTGTGATTCCAGGCATCGTGTCTCAAGCAGCACTTGACCAGGGCCAAAAGCTTTCTCCTCCCAAAGTTCTGTCTTTTTCATTCAGGAAGAAACTCCTTCTCAGAAGCCCCTCAGCAGATTTCCCCTAACGTCTCATTGGCCAGGACTGTGTCACATGGCCATCTCTAGTTGCAAGGGAGGCTGGGAAAGTGAGTATGTAGCTTTTTTAGCTTCTAAGCGGAGGCAGGCAAGAGAGAAGAGTGCTTGATGTGTTTAATACATGTTAGCAATTTGTGTTGTTCTTTTTTTTCTCTTTCTCTAGGGTACGAGCCCCCCCAAGCCCTCTCACCCCCTGCCCTGCCCCCACCTGCCCCGTCACCCCCAGCCTGGCAGGCTCGGGCCCTGGGCACTGCCCGATTGCAGCTGGTAGAGTTCTCAGCCTTTGTGGAACCGCCGGATGCAGTCGACTCTGTGAGTGCAAGTTTCGAATAGTCACTGGCGGGGGGTGGGGGGGTGGGGGTTGGAATGCAGAGAGTTATAGGGAGGGAAAGCATAACGCCGTGGTTCTCAAACTTTAGCAGGTATCAGAATAACATGGAGGGCTTGTGGAAACACAGACTGCTGGGCTCCACCTTCAAATTCTGATGCGGTAGAGTCTGGTGTGGGGCTTGAGAATTTGCATTTCTCACCCTCTCCCAGACATTTGTTGATGCTGCTGGTCTGGAGACCACACTTTGAGAACCACTAGCGTGGAGGGACTGGATGGTCATGGGGGGTCATGGTTAGCTTGCTCAGAGAAACTCCCCAGGCCGTGGCGTGTTCACTCGGGAAACATTTTTGAGTGCCTACTGTGTGCCAGGCTTTGTGGTGGACCCTGGGAACCCGGAAAGGCAGGTCTTGTTTCTAGGCCTGAGCTTTTCCTGGCCTAGGATGGAGACAGATGCCATATTAGTCAGGGTGGGCTGACTGTTAGAAGAAATAACCCGAAACCCTCAGGGAATGAACATCCTAGAAGTTTCTCTCTCCTGTAACATTTCCATGTAGGTGTCCAGTAGGAGGCTTCCACACAGTGATTTCGGGAAATTCCAGGCTCCTTCCATTTTGTGGTTCTGACATTTTCTAGGGCTTCAGAATCTGCTGCTGGATTCCCTGCATCTGGCCAGCAGATGGTGGAAGGGAGAGACTCAAGAATTGTGCAGGAGGTTTTATGGATCTGGTTTGGAAGTGGCAACTATCAGGTTCTGCTCGCATCCCATTGGCCAGAATTTAGTCATGCGGCCACACCTAACTGCAAAGGAGTCTGGGAAGTGTAGTTTTGCTGCGTGAAAAGGAACAGGGGTTTGTGAACACATAGTAGTCTCTGCTACAGCCAAATAAACACCAATTGCTGTGTATGGTGGTCCTGTAAAACCCAAGTTAGATCACGTTGAAACCCTCCCATCTCACTTGGAGCAAAGGCTAAAGTCCTCTCAGTTGCCCACAGGGCTGTGCACAATCTGACCCCCATTCCTGCTCTGTCCTCACCTCCTGCCCTCATACCCTTGCCCACTCTGCTCTAGCCACACTGGCTTCCATGCTCTTTCTCAAACACACCAGGCCCACTCCTGCCTCAGGACCTTTGCATCTGCTATTCTTGCCACCTGGAATATGTTTTCCTCAGATGGTTCCCACATTCTCCCTCCATTCACTCAGGCCTTTGCTTGTCTTCTCAGATTGGCTTTCCCAGACTGCTTCATGGAAAATACCAGCTGCCATCACTCTTGACCCTCGTACTGTGATTTTTGGGAATTTTTTTCAAAGAAGTTGTCACTCTCTGAGATTTATATTATCTGTGGGTTGAGTTTTAAATTTTTCTTTCTTTCTCTTAAGCTATTTTTTTAAAGAGTTTATTTTTTTATTTTTATTTTTTAATTTTTTTTTAACGTTTATTTATTTTTGAGACAGAGAGAGACAGAGCATGAACAGGGGAGGGGCAGAGAGAGAGGGAGACACAGAATCTGAAACAGGCTCCAGGCTCTGAGCTGTCAGCACAGAGCCCGACGCGGGGCTCGAACTCACGGACTGTGAGATCATGACCTGAGCTGCAGTCAGACGCTTAACCGACCAAGCCACCCAGGCGCCCCTAAAGAGTTTATTTTGAAGTAATCTCTACACCCAACATGAGGCTCAAACTTATAACCCCAAGAGTCACATGCTCTACCGACTGAGCCAGCCAGGGACCCCTAAAATTTTCTGTCTTTGCCAGCGGACTCCATGAGGCCAGAAATTTTGCCTGGTAGCCCTAGGGGCCAGAACAGTGCCCACACAGTAGGTCTCTCAGGAGATGTCTGTTGAATAATGAATATGTGCTGGGATAGGGGAGGCTCAAGTTTTTGTGGGTGTACAAAGGAGTCCTTCTGCCTGGGAAGTTAGTGAAGGCTTCCTTGAGATGACAACAGTTCAGTTGGGCTTTGAGGGTTACATGGGAGTATACCACGTGCAGAACTTTATGTTCCAGAAACAGCATGAAGTTCTCAGGAAAACAAATAATTGAATATGGTGGGGGCTGGTGAGGCTGCCGACAGGTGGGCAGGTGCTGGTTCTGGAGGACGTGGCATTGCCAAGCTAAGGGACCCAGACTTTCTCCCGAGTGTGATGGAAAACCATAGAAAAGAGAGGTTCCATCTGATTGATCAAGCGAGGCTTTCAGGAAGAGGTAGATTTGCATAGGCTTGGGCCTTAGAAGATGGAGGGAGGACTTGTATTGAAAAAGAAGATGGGGGAAGGTAGGAGAATTTCAGAATACGGATAAGAAGTGATAAGAATGGAGAGATGGGGAGTCTTGATCTGGGCTGTGTGGATTCTATCCATCCATGCATCCATTTTTCCATCCATTGACTGAACATTTGTGAGCATCTATTTGTGAGAGCCTCCAGGTTGGGGGGTGTGGGCTTTGTCCTGGGTGCTCTGGGGAGCCATGGAAGGGTTGTGAGCAGGGGAGGTCCAGGGCTCTGGGAGTCTGTAAGGGATGACCTGGAGAGTAGAGATCGGAGGCTGGGAGGCCAGGGAGGAGGCTGGGGTGAGAGTGGGAGAGGACAGGGCAGTGGGGATGGAGAGCAGGGGACAGGGCTTGGGGACTGAAATATTGGGGGGCAGCAGGGAATGGTGACAGTTCTGGGGAGTCAGGCCCAGCATCTGGGTGGACGGTGTGAAACAGCTAGTGGTTGCTGGGGGTACAGTATGGGATGGGCTTGAGCAAGTGAGCATCTGTCACTCCTCATTCATGGCCGACCCTTCTCAGTACCAGAGGCACCTGTTCGTACACATCAGCCAGCACTGCCCCAGCCCTGGAGCGCCCCCCCTCGAGAGTGTGGACGTCCGGCAGATCTATGACAAATTCCCTGAGAAAAAGGGTGGCCTGCGGGAGTTGTACGATCGCGGGCCCCCTCACGCCTTCTTCCTGGTCAAGTTCTGGGTGAGTTCTGCCACCAAAACAAAAGTGCTCACAAGTCACATGGCCTCTGGCTCTAAGGGAGACAAGCTCAGGCCTTACCAGTCCTCATGGCTCAGAGTGTCAGCCCCCTTGTAACAAGGAACACAGAGGAATTTTATCCCCAGGCCAGGAATGGATAGGACCAGTGCAGGCGTAGGGAGAGGACTTGGACCTCCCCGGGTCCCACTAGACTTTGCCACAACCAGTGGTGTGACTGATGTGGACTTAGGGATTGGCTTGCAACCTTCCAGACTTCCCTGCACCCCACCTGACCACGTGAAGCCTTGTTGCTAAGGAATGGTTCCCGTCCCTTAGCAAATAAGAGTCATGGAATTTGGTCTCTAAACAGAGGACAGACCCTAGCAGACCCTGTTGTTAGAGAATGGTCTTGAGGAAGTGACTGATGGAACTGGAAGGGGCTTTGTGAAGGCATTTATTTATTTAACAGTCATTTATTGAGCACTTACTATATATAGGCCCTATGCCAAGTGCTATGTATGTAATCATGAATAAGAGGGTCCATCTTGGGTCTTTCTTAGGCCCACTTGGTTTGGTGTTCACTATAATGGCTGATGTTATAGGGGCCCAATAAACATCGTAGATGTTTAGGGGGTGTTAACTCTTGTTAACCAGAGCTGTGGCATGATCTAGTCTCCTAGAAGGAAGCATGCCAAGGGCTTGAAGTTCATGAGCTTTGCGTGATTATAAAGTGTTCTAGTGTGTAGTGGCCCAAGGCGGCTCTGGGGATGTGCTGCCGAGGTCTTAGACGTGTTAGGACTTGAGACAGGCCTTATCAGGTCCCAGATCAAGAGAACGATCCCTAGGAAGCCCAGCAGCTGAAGGGATGCAGGGGTGCGGCTGGGAAGGCTAGGAGTAGCCATTGTCAGGGTGATGGATGGAGTCAGGGCCCTGAGGAGAGGACTAAACCACCTCAGAGAGTGACCTGGTCAGGTCAGCAGCTAAGGTTAGGAAGAGGAAGAGGTGTGCTTCCCAAAAAGGTGCCCAAGGAACTCAGGCCACTGGTGTGATGAGGTTTTAGGCTTCGTTGGGCCCTACTTGGCCTAATTAATGGACTGTCTGCCCCCTTAGCTGAGGATTGGCTGAAAGGGCTTGGGAGAGTGTTCTGGAAAGGAGTCTGGCTTCCCCAGGCCCCTTTGCTAGGGAGTAGCCACTTGCCTTAGCACCCAGGGCCATGAAGCAACTCCCTCTGTGAGGGAGTTTCTGGTTGCTAGGGAGTAGCTGGCTCCATAGTAACCGGAGGTTTGGAAGGGGCTGACCTCTTGAGTTGGGGCCTCCAAGAGAAGAAAGTTGAATTCCAGGGCTCCTTTGTTGGGGGTGGAGTTATTGGAGAGAGAGTTATTGGACCATTTTAGGAAGCCAGACTTCTCCCATACTGATGGAAGGGTGGGTGTGTTCCAGAAACAGGCTCATGGAGAAGCAGGGACCTTGAATGCTAAGGAAGAGAGGTGGGCAAATGCAGGGCTATGGGGGGGAACCAGGCCATAGGGCAGAGTTCCCACTTTAGAGGCATCCCCACCATTTACAGGGAACTTCCTCTCCAACTCACCTGTGCCTGCCTCCCCATCCCCCAGGCGGACCTGAACTGGGGCCCTAGTGGCGAAGAGGTAGGGGCCGGCGGCAGCAGTGGTGGTTTCTATGGAGTGAGCAGCCAGTACGAGAGCCTGGAGCACATGACCCTCACCTGTTCCTCCAAGGTCTGCTCCTTTGGCAAGCAGGTGGTGGAGAAGGTGGAGGTGAGGCTGGAGGGATAGAATTCCGGGCCGGTGAGCACCCAGCCACCTGGCACTTTGGGGGTGCAATAGCTCATGCACTTGAGTGTCTGTGGGGTGGGGGTGGGGGTGGGGGAGTGTTTTATCCTCTTTGGGGACTTAATGCACGGGCTGGGAGCTAATGCTGAAATCCAAAGTTGCATGTAGGGGTTACTTTGAAGGCTCAAAGGTTACATGTGGTACAGAGATTTATAGTTGCTAAGATTCAGAAGGTTCTTAGGGATATGGGGGAATCTGCAGGGCAAGGAGGTTCAGGGGCCACACTTAGGGATTGCTGAGGACTTGATGGGTCTTGAACTCAGAGGTCATATAGAGTCTGGAGACCTGGTGGAGGGGTCTTTGGAGGATGTGAGGGTATCTGGGGGCCTGGAGGTTAGTGCAGTTCAGAGGTCATTGAGGCTTCAGAGCACAGTTTTGAAAGGCTGGAGGGGTCCCTGGTTTGCAGGCTCAGTGGTCCCAAGTTGGATACCTGAGGGTTCAGGTCCCATCTCGGGTCGCCATGGATGGAGCAATGGTAAAATGACCGCAGTGGGGAGTGGGCATGGCATCGGAGAGGCACAGAGTGGGGCTCAGTTCCTGGGGTGACCCCTGTGTCTCTCAGTCACCGTCCTCCCTACTCTACGCCCCCATCCTGGTTCAGACGGAGCGTGCCCAGCTGGAGGACGGGAGGTTTGTGTACCGCCTGCTGCGCTCACCCATGTGTGAGTACCTGGTGAATTTCTTGCACAAACTTCGGCAGCTGCCCGAGCGCTATATGATGAACAGTGTCCTGGAGAACTTCACCATCCTCCAGGTGATGCACTGGGGCTGGGCCGGAGTTGGGGCGCTGATGTCGTGGGGAGTGCCCACGACAGACCCTCAGCCTGGGGACCCTGACACAGGGGGATCCCTCCTCATGGGGGAAACTGACCTCGAGGACATCCCGTGGTGGATCCTCAGTTTAAGGGACCTCCTCCATAGGGAACCTAACCTTAGCTCAGGGAACATGATCCGGTGGGACTCCTTTACCTCTGATATGCCATCTCATGTGAGTCCCCTCACTGCCAACACTCGAATGAAGAAACTGACATGTCAGGCATCCCTTCTCCCTACTCCCTGGGGAATGTGATAAGGTGGGGACCTCTTCCCTGGGTATTCCATGGCACCTTGGGGAGGGCACAGTGGTCCCAACTCTCCCTCTTTGTTTTGTTTTTGTTTTTTGCATAAACCCTTTCTCTTGGCCTCCTTGGCAGGTGGTAACAAACCGAGACACCCAGGAGCTGCTGCTCTGCACTGCCTACGTCTTTGAGGTCTCCACCAGCGAGCGGGGGGCCCAGCACCACATTTACCGTCTGGTCAGGGACTGAAAGGGGACCCCAAAAGTGGCTCATGCCCGGAATACCCTCCTTCCAGGAAGGACCCCCAGCTTTCTTCATGCTTATTTGGGGAGGGGGCGCTGATCCCTGTTAGAGGGGACCTTACAAAGCTGGGTGGCAAGCTGGAAGGTTGGATCCTGATATTGGGACTTCACAGTGGTGTCTGAAAGGACAGATCACTCCAGAGCATGGGAACTGGGGACAGGAGTGAGACAACCCTGAGGTATAGCACTGGTTTCTCAGTCTCTTAACAGGTGCCCTCCCCCAACTTGGTTCTGGATGTTTTGGGGGGGGGGGG